GAACTTGACCTTTGACCTGCTTTCACGTTTCTGAGCCCTGGCGAGATACCCTTTCACGTTGCTTTACTTTTACAAGGCCTGAGGCCTATATCGGGTAAAGGCCCTTTTACTCTCGCGGGCCTAGTTTCGAAGTCCCTTGAGAATCATTTTCCAATTAAGGATATGAATTCCCCTCTTTGCGCTTTCATATGCAGACACAATATGAGGTGCAGAGTCTAATAACTCTTCTCGTGTGAAACAACGATCTTCACTAGGATCCTGGAATGCAAACCTCACCTTATATTGTTGTTGTGGTCTGCCCCTACGTCCAGTGTGGTAAGTACTTTCTGCAACAATTTTATCCACGTCATACTTCCCATCCATACTTGGGGGTATTGCTGATCGGCGACTTGGGAAGAGCTCATTTGTTACACAAGGTAAGAGTTTGGATGCATGAAACACTGGATACGTACGTAGATGTGGAGGAATTTCAATGACATAAGAAGGACCATCCACATCCCCAATTACATCTAAAACTTGCCAAGGTCCTCTGTAGGCGGGTAGAAGTTTCTGAGAGATGTTTTCTTCAGGAGTAAACTCTTTAGACTTCACCCAAACCAAATCTCCTACAACAAATTGAGATGGTCGTCTGTGTTTATTTGCCTGTTCAATCATCTGATGCTGTGCTTCGAGTATGTTTTCCTTTACTTTCTCAATGTCTCTCTGATACTGGACTGCAAACTCACTAGTCCCTATAGGAAGCTTATGTACTTGATTCGGGTTCAATCGATCAATGGGTCTGCGTGGACGCCATCCCAGATGTAACTCCATAGGAGTCTTACACGTAGATAGGTGTACAAAGTTATTATAGGCACTAGCAACTTTAGGCAGATGTTCATCCCAGTCAATCTGGTCGGGACGGATGTACATGCACAAAGTCTGCTGTAATATCTTGTTCATCTGCTTAGTCTGGCCATTAGTCTCAGGATGTCTGCCTGATGACATAGTCAACTTAGAGCCATATACATTCATCAGTTGCTGCCATTGTTCACTTGTGAACCTGGTGTCCCTGTCACTTACAATAGTTAAGGGATGTCCAAAGTCTTTTCCCCAATGGTTAAAGAACTCTCGAATTACCAAATCAGTCTTTGCTTCCGAAGGCAAAGCTACAAAAACAGCATACTTAGTGAACCTATCCACTATTACCATTACTTGCATTTTCCCATTTCTGCTCTTCACCTTTGTATCCATGAAATCTATAGAGACAGAGTCTCCAGGGTCGGTAGGGGTAGGCAAGGGCTTAAGTAGCCCAAGGGGCGATTGCGTGGTGCTTTTGTTCCGTTGGCATACTTGACAACCTTGCACATACGCGATACAGTCTGCTTTCATCCGAGGCCAGGCGTAGGAACGCAACAAGGTCCCATAGGTTTTCTTCCAACCAAAATGGCCTTCTGTATCATGGCATTCCCCCAAGATCATACTTTTGATCTCTTCATTATTGGGTATACACAGCCTATCATTTACATCCGTTCGTTCAAACAATAGACCCTGAGTTACTTCATGATCGGGAAACTCTGCTGGCTTTTCTTGCACTAGCTTAATCATGGTTCCATAAACAGGATCAGAGGGATACGCATTTATAATCTTTTCTTGTAGGTCAGCACCCACATCTAAATACGTCACAATAGCACCGAAAAAGTCTGATCTACGACTTAGTGCATCAACAACAACGTTATACTTACCCGTGACTGGCTTTAATTCAAAATCAAACGTATCAATTTCCGCAGCCCACCTTGTCAACTTAGGTGTCATTCGAGCTTGCGTTTTGAGCCAGCGAAGTGTTTCATGGTCATAATACACCTTAAAATGCCGTCCCAGAAGGTAGTGTCGCCAATGATTGAGAGCCTCACGTAGAGCATACAACTCTCGTTCATACGTTGAAGCGGCCACCTTCTCATTAGGCAGTCGGCAAGACATAAACTCCATAGGCCTGTATCCATGCCCATCGTCTTGCTGAAGGACAACACCTATACCATATTGACTAGCGTCGGTTGTGACCACGAAAGGTAATGAAGGGTCTGCCACTTTCGAAACCGGGTAGTTGATTAAACACTTCTTCAAACGCTTGAAAGACATCGTGTAGTCTGAGTCCCACTTCCAGATTACTTCTTTCTCAAGCAATCGACGAAGGGGAACAACTATTATCGTAAAGTGTCTCACAAACTTGCGATAGTAGTTGGCTAACCCAAGGAACGACCGCAACTCAGTCAAGGTGCGGGGGTTTGGCCAATCCCTGATTGCTGCTATTTTGGCATCTTTCGGTTTGACCCCATCTCCATCAATCACGTGTCCTAAATAGAGAACCTGACGCTTATCCCATTCACACTTCTTTGGGTTTATCTTGAGTTTTGCTTCTCGTAATTTGTTTAGCACAAGTCGAAGGTGCTCAGCATGTTCCTTTTCATCTTTACTAAAAATCAAAATATCATTTAGATAAATCACAACAAACTTGTCAAGCCACTCACGAAATAGTTCGTTCATTGTTCGTTGGAAAGTGGCAGGGGCATTCGTGAGACCAAAGGGCAAAACTATAAACTCATAGTGCCCATACCTTGTCCTGAAGGCAGTCTTATGTTGGTCTTCCGACTCAACCTCAATCTGATGGTAGCCGGATCTCAAAACGATTTTTGAAAATATTTTGCAACCCTGCACGTGATCCAGGAAATCGTCGATTCGCGGTAATGGTTCAACATTCTTTACTGTTATATCATTTAGTCTCCTATAATCTATACACATGCGGACGCCCCCATCCTTCTTAGGCACAAAGAGCACAGGCGCACCATAGGGCGAGGAGCTAGGTCTTATCCATCCATTTTTCAACAACTCATCGAGTTGCGTTCGCAGTTCATCCAATTCCTGGGGCGACATACGATAGATAGGCCCCTTTGGGGGCGCGCTCCCTGGAATGATATCAATGCGGTGTCGGATTGGTCTTTCTACCACACCACTTGGGGCTTCAACCACATCTGCGAACTCTTTCAGGATCCTCTCAATCTCTTGAGATCTAACTTCTTCCTTAGCTTCTCCTTCCTTTACTGGGCGCACATATGCAACAAAGACTTGGTCATACAAGTTATGTTTCTTTTCATGGCGAGCGAACGCTGGGCCACTGATGCAACAGTGAGCTAGGCTGCTTTCTTTCCCAGACTCATGATAGAGGCGAATCTTCTTCTTTCCTCCTTGCGGACTTGGGAGCCAACATGAATGTTCCCTTAACTTCAGATCCGCGTTTGCAGCCTCACCCCAATCCATTCCTAACAACACATCGAAGGGTAAGTTATCCTCCACCAAGAAGGTCAGAGAGTGGAGAAGTGTTCCACCTTCCCCTCTGCCTCTAGTCGAAAGTATACTTGTACTCCCTCGACGTATCGATCCATGACAGTTTCACTACTATTCGCCAACTTACTTACAATGGGCTCATTTAACTTCTTAACTTTAAGCCCAAGACGCAGTTTCTGTAACCCTCTTTTACTAATATAGCTGCGTGTAGAACCACTGTCTATCATACCTCCTACTCTGACTCGATTTATCTCAAGATCTGCAATTATTAGCTGTCCTTTCTTTTTTCGCATTTCAGTCCAGGCTTGGCGACGAGCGGCCAACTCATCACCCACGCCAGCGAGGGATCCATCTAGAGAGATGCATACGTTTGCCACCTCTGGACAGTGCACTAGATTGGGACTTCCTTCCTCTTCAGTTTCTGCAATTGGGGCCTTCGAATGAGCGGATTCTGATTTTTCAACATTCGAAGCCCCGGTAGAGGCAACTGGCACCTCTACTGGCTGTTCCCTTTTGCCCCTCTATAGTCAGGGCAATAGGGGACAATGTGGTCGGGGTCCCCACATTTGAGGCACTGGTCTGCTTTCTTTCTCTCTTGCCAGACCTTTTCTGTGATTCCCAATTCTTTCCAAGGCTCTCCTTCGGGTAGGCCTGGATGTGGTGGGTATGGCTTGTCCCACTTATTGTACCACGAACCTCTTCCTCTACCCCAGGTGGAGTAAGAACCACGGCGACCGTATGAGGGACCATTTCCCCTTCCTCCCACGTAGTGGCTTCCTTCACCACCACCCCTCTGGGTGCCGAATCCTCGTCCACCACGGYCGCGACCTCTTCCTCGGCCAGGCCCTCTTCCTTGACGCCCTCCCCCGCGGGTTGCAACAGCCGCGTAACTCCCCTCCTGAGCTACCGGTCTGTTGGGTTCATCGATACCATAGTCTACCTGATCCCAGGAGATGGTCTCGGCGCCTCCTTCCTCAAAGGTTAGAAGGAGACTGTCTTTCCCAGGTATAGACCCTGAGATAGTGCGGTTTTGCCATCTTTTACCCGCTTGCAGATCCTTCCAATAATGGCAGTAGTTTGCTTCGGCAAGGAAGCCGGCGTGATCTATCGCGATCTTGCCGAACTTCTCATATGTCATCCCCTCTTCTTTAGTGCGGGGATAGAGTTGTGTTCGTAGGGGATCTGGAAGTGCTCGTGCAAAACTGTTCAAGATTTGGGTCGGCATTAATCCGTGATCAGGGCATTGCAACAACTCATCCATAGTTGCCTTCAGTGCAGAGGTACTTTTCCATTTCCTATCCGGAAGGCTGAGGATCAACATTTCTGTACGCCTTGCCAATTTCTTGTCCTCGAATCTGTCTCTAATCAACTTAAGAAAGTCTTCAATGCGCGTTTGCTGCGAATACTCTACCATAGAGCTGCATCCCGCTTCCTTTTGCAGCGAGATGGCAAAACTCATGGCGTCGCCTCCCATGCATGAAGTTGCCATCAATACCTTGTCCCAGTATGGAATACGTTGTCCGTATACATATGTTTCAATTGCTGCCGCCCAATGCAGAACACTTTCCTCCTTCTTTCCATTATAGGTCCACGACAGTTTAAGTTTTGTCTTGTTAACCTGCCCGGTTTCCTAAGGAAGTTGTCCCTTTGGATCCCCAATCTTCTTCTTCCCTTTCTTGTCATCATCGCCGTCGTCATCACCATCTCCTCCTCCGCCTCCAGCACCTTTCACTAACTTTTCTATAACTTCCGGGGTGAATGTCTTAGTAACATGTTCATCCAAGACTTTAATATAAGTTTGCACGTGTTGGTCAACGTCTTTGGCTGACTTTTCCAAGAAGTTATTCCAGACGTTTTCGAATTTAACTCGATGCGTTTCAACTCTTTGTAGGGTCTGACGCATTAAATTCATATCTTGCCTTGTGTGGAGGACTGTCTCCCGGAGGAAAGCAAGCTGTGCTTCGGTTTCAGAGGGGTTTTCTTTTTGCGCTTCTAGAGCTTTCTGCAATTTCTCCCCTTCTGCCTGCAGTCTTTTCTTTTCCTCCACCTCTTGCCGTCTGGAAGCTAACAACCTGGCATTCAGTTCAGCCCTTTTTTCTGCCATCAGCAGGTTGCGTTCAACAGTGTCTGTTACAGTGGCCAACTTTGCGATAAACTTATCCCGCTCTTCATCAGATTCTTTTAATGGTTCGCTGGAGTAATAGTACTTATCGGCCCAATCCAGCGGTTCAACCGGGAGCCGGTCTGCTGAGCTACTCTCAGGTATGTCTAGGTGACGATGTCTTTGCAATGCTCCTCTTTCCTCCTGTTCTTCTTCTTCTTCTTCATCTTCTTCCTGAATGCTTTTCAATTCTTCTTCAAGTTCTTTATCCATTTTTTCTTTCATCTTCCTCTTGGCTTCTTCTTCTTTCTGTTTTTTCTTCGCTTCCTTTTCTTTTTTCTTTTCTGCCAGCCTGCGGTCAATTTCTGCTTGCTCCGCAGGTGTGGGGCCAGGCTTCACTGTCCCTGACCGCATAAGCATGCGGGACGTGCATACACGTCCGAACCCCAATGGGAACATGAGCCGGAACAGCGGCCGCAACAAGACAGAAAGGGCCAACAGGCCCTGGATGGGATAGTCATCCATGATGAGGATTGGCACAGGAGGTCCTCCACCAGCTCACCACGGCACTACCCCAATCAAACCTACTTACTTAGTGTCTGTGGTAGATGGAGTTCTGACTTTCGTTTTTTTTTTTTTTCTTTGACTGTAGACGGTGCTGCGTAGAATCAACAACAGATCAACTAAAACAAACTTACTGTTTAGATATGTATACTCTTTCTCTTTCTTTTGATATGCTGTCTGGTTCTCTGGATCAGCCTTTTGGGTAATGTGTTTCTGATGTCTTGTTTCCCCTTGATATATTTTTTTTCTTTATACTAACTTGCTGGGTGTCTGATGCAGGTATGGAGTACAGCGCAGAAGATCAGATTCAGATGGTTCGCTTATCCAACCAGGCAGAAATACTTCGTGCAAATGTTTCTTTCTGTTGGGCTCAACAGGCCCTGTAGATGCTCAATATCATTCTTACGCTGCCTGGTACTTGCAATCTGATGTGGCAGATAGCCACTTCCCACATGACAGTACCCAGTCTGCCTATCGAGAGGGGTAGGAGAGAAGTCTACTCCTACTCGCGGAACACTGACCACCTACTCTAGTGTGACCAGGCCCTGACACATCGCCCTTGGACCATCTAGACTCTAGGACGATCCAGATCCAGACTTCGACTCCAGACCAGCAGCAGTCACCTTCAGAGGGTCAGAGAGAGATAAGGTAGGGGACACACACATACATGCAGGTTCAGGCAAAGGAGGTGCTTCTCTCTTGTTGAAGATAACGCCGATGACGCTCCACGACGCTCCGCACGCTCCAGGTAAGTAGACTTCGCCACTTCTTCTTCGGCCTGCTTCCCCCCCACCATCCAACACCTCTTCTCTCCCTCCTTCACTATTCCTCCATCACCACTTCTCCTTACCGGCCTTGATCATGCCAGCGCTATGAGTGCAGCGAGCATCTGCTCCGATACCAAATTTTGCATGGGTCCTGGGGACCATCTCACACAAGTGTGTACATGTCATGCATCATTCTCACACACAATGATCAATAGTCTCAAATCATAGACAAAGGTAGAGGAGAAGAGGACCGAGTTTCACAGCTTATATTATCAGAAATATGATTACAAAGTGTTTCAAAGTTCCCCTGAGTCCAGCGCTCATCAGCGCGACACAAATCTCTTGTCAACTCATCAATATGGCTTCCCATGCATCAGCGCTACATYTGCAGATTATCTCCAAGTCATCAATGTGGTCACTACTCATCAGCGCCACCTCTGCAGTTCACATCCAACTCAGGTAAGTATCTTCCATAGGCAAA